CCTCCATCCTCCTACTCTCATTTTTACCTCCCCTCATATCCTCCGGCCTCCATCCTCCTATCCTTATTTTCACCTCCCCTCATATCCTCCGGCCTCAATCCTCCTATCCTCATTTTTCTTAGAAAAATATCTTTCTTTCATATACTAACTTAACTCTATTTTTTTTATTAATAAATTAGTTATTTTTGCTGTTGTATTGTAATTTTTGTAAGGCCATTTAAAGCAACCCTTATGCCTTATTGCATATTGGCTAGGAATTAATTTGACAAAACATAAAGATAATTGGTTAAATCTTGATGATTAATATCTTTTCTCAGACTTGATTAGATTAAATTAGATTAATTTTGTGTTAAAAAATCTGAACTTTTTGGTTAAATCTGATAAAATGTAGTAAATGTCTACAAGATTGGAATAGAAAACGTTAAAGTCTAAGATACCTTGTCTAAGAATATATTGCAAATTGTAAAAGCATAAACAAGTCTGAATTCGACCTAGGTTCTACTCTAACAACTAGAGACAAGATACAAGCTGACCGCGATCACCAGGCTCCAACCTTTATATATTAATACAGGGTATACCATTAAACCTTCATATATACAATACAGGGTATACCACTAAACCTTTATATAAACATGGTGTCTCACTAAACCTTTATATATACGGGGTGTTCCACTGAATATTTTATATAAACAGAGTGTCCCACTGAGCTTTTATATAATACACTGCAGTTCCCCACAAAACCTTTTATATATATATACAGGTCCCACTAAACCTTTATATAAACAGGGTGTGCCACTAAACCTTTTTATATACGGGGTGTCCCACTAAACCTTCATATATATTCAGTGTCCTACAAAACCATTATATATATATATATATATATATACAGTGTACCACTAGACCTTTATATATACTGGGTGTCCCACTAAGCCTTAAAGGGCCGAGTACATATTTTCAGGTTAAATAAACCCCCATCACGATTGGGAGAGGGGTGTTTCAGCCCCTCATCGCTGTGTTATTTTTTCTTTTAAACATAAAACGGTTTACACTAGCACTATGAACGCTAAAACTTTCACTTTTAAAACTTTATAGTTGTGAACATATTTTGCAAACAAAAGAATTATTAACCAGAAATTTATTTAATTGAATAATCCTTGAAAAATGGATGTTTACATGTGTCGCATGTTAATATTTGTCAAAAGTAAAAATAAATATTTTTTAGCATTTTTCTGACGTACTTAAAAATTTTTTTAACTTTTTAACTTATCAAATTTTTAAACTTTTTTAACCCCTCCCTTTTTTGTCTTTCATTTTTAAACCAAAAAACTCTAATGCATTTAGTTTGTCTCGAAATTTTTTTAACAATTTATTTTCGAGGATTATCTTTTCCATTTAATAACCGGCCCGCGGACTTTTTTCAATATTAAAATGGACGAGGAGTCTAGAATTCCAATAGGAATCTTTTTGAAACTTTGAATATATTAGCAGATTAAATATACTCTTCTACATATTTAATAGATTAGATATTGGGAAGGAGTGTGCATACAGGGGGGGCCACAAAAGATGAGACTTTAATGATGACCTAAATCTCTTTCGATCTAAATTGTTTTTTTTCTTTATTCTAGTTTATTATTTATTATTGGTAAACTTCAAAGTTTTGACAAAGAAAGCTAAAAATTCAAAGACATGGCTTTATGGAACCAGCATTTTAAGAAAAAACTTAATAAAATCTTTAAAGTTTTCCTATCATCTCTTTATGATAAATCTAGTTTAGTTGAGGTCGAGGGTGAGCCTTGTATCTGTATTTTTTTTAACCCCATTTCATT